TGAATCAGTTATTACAATTATTAACATTATAAAATGCAGCCTTAATTATTATATACCTTTTAGCATGATATTTGAAGAATTGAGCTATAGCATATCTGGCTACTGAGGCAAAAATATTCATGTAGATTTTAAAAATAGATGAAAATACTTTAGCATGCTGGTAATACTTATAAATATCTTTTTAATTAGCTTACCTAAATGATATGTGACAGTATATTCAGTATATTGAATTGCTTGATCTTTCACTTTATGCTCAAAATACTCATTTAAAAATTTATAGATGAGATACTACGATTTCTTTTTTGAAAACTGAACTGCTGTATAATGGTTTAAACTTTGATGCTTTCTAATACTTTTTTTCTAGTAAGTTGTTTACTTTTGAAGAAAGAAATACATGATTTATTGTCATATATATTAAGAATCATATCATAGTATTAGACATGTTTCATTACATATATAACACTTCATGAAAAAATGAAGTACTTTTTAGTACTATAAGCAGTTAAAGAATGGCTAAGAAACCTATTTACTGTCTCCCAAATTTAAAGTCATCTTTTATTTTTATTTGTGAAATGCTTGCCAATTTAATGCATGATAGAATTCTGAAATTCATACTCAGTAAGGAATTCTCAGTAATTTCTATATTTACAATGACCATAATATCCAGAGTTGCTTGGGAAATCACTACATATTTATTCCATTAAACAACTATTAACTGGGAATTAGGATATTATAGTTTGTTTAAGACTGTAAGAATAGGAACCCATGGAATGTAGAAAACTTTACTGTGCTTCAGAGTCTGTTACTGGGCCAGATATTGACAGTTTGGCAAGAGAGTAAAGTATGATCTACATAGATAATAAGAAGTAATAAGTATATTGATTTTTTATTCCACATAACATATTTTATTCCAACTAACTTATTTCAAAAAACCATCTTACCTATTGTGGTACATATTTGCCAAATATAGGTGCCAAGATAATATTTGTTATCTTTGTGAAAAACAAAAAGTGTTTGAGATAGTTTTAGTGAGTGAAACGTTATACTACATGTAACGAGCTCTCATCAGGTGTTAAGGAGCCAGTACTTTATACACTGAAGTATGGAAAGAATACATTACTGATCTAAACTCTGCCATTTAATCTGTTAATTGACAGAACTAGGATTTGGAATTAGTGTGAGAGTGGTCTGCTCTTTGCCACTACCTAACAGA